GTTAGCATACAGTCCCCATATTTCAGGCTTAGCATCCTGTGAAAGGAGTCTTGTACATGTAAGACTTTACTGTTAGATGCTAATAACTTGTTATTCTACAAATCTATCCGGCTTACAAGAAATAAACCAAATCATCCTATAGAAGATATCACAACATTAGATATCCTCTCCTACCCTCCCTTCAAATTATACACTGCTGCCCAGATAATATTCCAGGGTGGCTGACGTCTTTCATCTGCTCCCTTTTATTAAAACCCCTTAGCAAGTGGAATGAATATTCCTCTGTGCTATATATAGCACCATGTGTACTACTATCCACAGCTGGGAGTACAGCTTGGGTACCCACACTTGGATCTTTATGGTTTGGTTTTTGTAAGCCTTTTTTTCTCTGTGCCTGCCAAGTCTCTGGCTGGCTGGTGGCGTTGGTGTTCCGTGAGAAGCCTGCTGCTCTTCTTTCCTGGCAGAGGTTTCACAGGGTTTCAGTGTCTCCCTCCAGTGCAGTTATTAAAGGCTTTTGTTTATCTTGTGAAATCTGCCCTGTGAATGCTGACACTGACTGAAGTGCTGGGAGAGTTTCCCTGACTCTTCCTCTCGCTGTCTCTCACGGGTCTATTCCCATGAAAATGATCTCAGGTGTGCTGTGCGTCATCAGCCCGCCCCAGGCGCTCTCTGGCTTACTGGCAGGGAAAATGAATGCGCTGTTTCTGAAGCCCTGCTGGGTTGGCTGCTCCTCCTGCCTCAGCGCTGTGAAGAGCCATCCCAGCGGTTCTGGCCACAGCAGGCACCAGCCGTCCCCAGGCACACGCTGCTCCCCAGGCAGGGGGCCCAGCAAAGGGCTTTGCTGCAGGAGAGCAGCAAGGATCCTGCAATACCATCAGAAACCCATTTTCACTGCTTGGGCAGCATTTTCCCAGCCTCTCTCCCATCCAGCCCTGCAGGGATGCAGTCTGTGACGGGAAAACCAAATCCTCCCACAATGAGCCCTGCTGCAGCACGTGATGCTGACTCTCCCTTTCGTATGAGAAAGCACCTCAGTCTCCGGGGCTGAGGTGTTGAAGCATCGCAAGTGAGTTCCAAGTTAGATCCCTGACAGATCCCAGCTAGATCCCTGAGTCCCTGCTGGCACTGAGCTTTGTAACTAGGTCTTTCCCTGGTGAAGCAGAGGGTTAAGCTCGGTGGCAGGGCAAGATGCTTATGCGGATGGTTGAAGAAGGGGCAAGCCCACAACTTGAGTGCCCTGAGCTCCCCAAAGTCTAACATCTGTGCTGTTAAACGACCGCCACAAGCAATTACATGTAGGTAATTGCCTGGAAATCAGCAGTGCTGCCCCTACCAGAAAGCCCCACTGTATCACCAGCACAATGATGGCAGTGCAGCCATTGGGGTGCCACGGGCTTTGCTGTCTGTGCCTGATTCGCTAAACTGCATTCTCCCACTGTCCTCTTCTGCAGGTCTATGGAGGTTCCTCCATGGGAGGTCAAGCTCTTCCACCCTCACCACCAGCAGAGCCAGGTCCCGTGGGTGGGCCCTGGGTGCTAGCTGGGAGCTGGGGGAGCAGCAGGTACCGTACCCTGGCCAAGAAATCGGGCCTGACTCTGAGGCTGCCACTGCAGCATTTCCTGCTGCACCAAAAGCCTGGGGAAGGTTTCAGCAGAACCTGGCTTGCTTTCTGAGAAAACAAGGAAAGGGAGCTTTACCCTAGACCCTGGGAAGCCCTTGTCTTTTCATTGTATTTTAATTTTAAGAGATTGTCTGCCCCGCCCAAGATTATCTCATGGGAAAGAAAAGCCTGGCTCAGTGACTCGTGGTGAAACTTGTCTGCAAGCCAAATTTCTCTGCACCTGATGTTCCTCCATAGCAGCAGAAACCAGAGTATTTCAGTTCACAACACTGCCCTAGGGGCAGTGCTGGGGATAAGGGGTTGGAGGGGGAGGATGGGACCCACATCTCCTCCTGCTCCTCCAGAACAAGTCCAGCAAGTTTGGATGCTGAGCAGTTCAGTCCAGGAGCTGGAAAGGGCATGGTGTCACCCTGGGAATGGGGATCACGTGGGTCTGCAGCAAAGGCAACCTGTCCCAGGGATACGTTGAAACATACCTTGCTCTCTTGTGCAATAGGTCTTTGCAAGTAAAATGCTGTATTTATACTGTGGGAACAGAGAGCCCAGGGCTGGACTCAGCAGAGTCATGAGTAAGCAGCTTCCAAGAGGGCCAGGTACCAGCTGGGCCAGCTCTGTGATTCCTTTTCTGTGAGAAGATGCAGACTAGGTGCTGGGTCTCAACCAACATCCTCCGGTACAGCGAGAATAGTCTTGGAACCATACTGTAAAGTTCAAGTGGTTTCTTTGTATATCTGCTTTATCTCCCAGCCTCACTACAGAGTGATTTAGCAGGGCTCCAGGAGAGGAAATGCTGTAAAGGAGAGCCAAGATGTATAAGCAGATCATAAGGACAGCATATTGGGCAGAGGGGACCTCTCAGCAGGATGGAAGAGCAGCAGTTCTATTAACACACCGTCTGTGACAGGACAAACATTCCTTGTGATGACAGTGTCTGTTTAAGCAATGTCTCTGCTCTCTCCTGCTCCTCTGGTGTTCCCATGCTGCTCTTTGAGAGGCTGCAGAGAGGACCACAGGAGGGGGCCAACCTAGCAGAGAGGTATTAAGAACAAAGGTGAAGCAGATTACTTAGCTGCCACTACAGCTGAGAAAAGTCAAGCCAGACCCTGCTTCCAAGCTGGAAATGGTTGCTTAATTCATACATAGCATTAAACTTGGAGTAATCTGAAGAAAAAAGCCGGTTAGCACCTGAGGATTATATTGAGGGGTGTTAAGAAAGTGATAAGGTTGTTAATGCAATCACACCCCTCTCAGGAAATGGGAGAGGATGCCATTCACAGGTTTCAGCAGGGTTCCTCCTGCTGGACTCTCGTCAGCTCACTTCATAATAATTCAGCCTGTCCCTTCAAAGTAAATAGGATGTAATTTACAGGGCATAAAGATCTCCAAAAGGACTTTTAGACCTGCCCTTCTGGTGCTGGAAGGAGGCTGTGCTGAGTCAGACGAAACTTGGTATTATTTTGGGGATTAATTCTCAGTCAGGGTTCAGTGGAAGCTCAGGAAAGTGTTGCCAGCTGGGAACCTTCTTGGCATAATTAAGCCTATTTAAGGTGTGCTACCTACTGAAAAAGGAAACTAAAGGGTCCTTCCTTTCCATACTGTGTTCCTACCATTGCTGACACCTGAGCTCAGCTCCTTCGGAGATGGCAGCTGAGAGTGGCAGCAAGCACACCGGCTTTCATATGGATTTATACAACATGGTATGTACCTGAAGTACTTGCAGTGTTGCCTATGCAGGTGGGAATCCCTGATCAGTTACTCTGCTGGATGCAAGGACTGTGAAGAAGTCTGCTGTCCAGGATCCAAGTTAGAGTCCTGAGAAAGAAAGGAGGTACTTTTAACATCTGATGCTGAACATGCTCTGATGGAGCAAGTCAGATCAACTAATCATACAGATCCTTTCTGGTATAAAAGTAGGCATCACTTGTGAGGAATTGTGCTGGCCTAGTAATGGGCTGAGCTAGCTTCATCCAGCTTGGTGGGGCAGTTTGTGTTAGCAACCATATCCCAGGAACTCCCCTGTGCTCCCAGCAGCATCTGAAAATACAGGATGGTCAAGCAACACTGCAAGGCAGAAACAAGTCCAAACTACCAAAGCACAGATCCAGTACTGCATCACGGAGAGGACTAGAGCAAGGCTTTACAGACACTTCAGGTGGCTTTAGTAGGAAACTCCATTTAACGAGATAGATTCACACCCCCACCCAGGAGTTCAGCTTTGTTCACGGGTTTCAGGGAGTTTTAGAGTGCTTATTGTGCACATGACAGGATATGGCTCAGTGGAATGACTCACTCCCCAGTAAAGTTAATTCACACTTTGCTGCTATTTCCATTCACAGGTTCTTCTGTAAGCTTTAGTGCCAGGAAGCTGCAAAGCTGGGAGCCTGTTCCAAATATTCCCACAGGTTACTTCACATCTAGCAAACAGTAGATCGCAGGAGGACAGTGTGATCTCAGACTTTGTTAAACAAAAACAAAAAACCAACCAAAAAACCCCCCAACTACAAACAAACAAAAAAACAATCACAAAACACCACTACCCCCAAAACCCCACAACAACCTCCCCACACAAAACACAAGTTCCCCAATCGTGTTTTGTTGGCATTAGTTTCCTATTCCCTTCTAATTTCTGAATCCTATTTGCTCATTACCTCTGTGACATTTTGGGGGGTTTGTCTATTTTCTCTCCTAGCTCTCTGCTGAACCACCACACTGCACCCTCAGCAGCCTCATTTCCCAGTCCTCTGACTTTGGAGCAGCTATGGGAGCCCAGATGTGGACAGGCAGGGGTCTTGACCTATCTGTAATGCTGAAGATGGGGCTAAAAGGAGGAGTCCTGTGAGCTGTCTTGGATAGAACCTTTGCATCCTGTGTGACACAGGCAAAATTTTTCAGCACTTGAACAGTGTTTAACTACCAAGGTACATTAAATAAAACTGGTTGCTAAATTACCCACCAGCCTAATGACAGAGCAACATGCTGTTATTAAGGCTCCAAATGCAAGTCCTACACGGGCTTGATTCAGAGTGCTGGGAGGGCCTCCTGACTGACCCCTGGATGGTGGCTTCTGGGGAGAGGCATTGAAAGCTTTGGATGTTTGCTACTCCATCCCCCCCAGGAACTTTCACCCTGACTGGCTGCTGAGGTAGAGAAAGATTAACTGAGGTGACAGAAGGAACTAGGAAGGTTTCAGGTATGAGGCGATTTTTACCATTGCTAATGGTGGTTAGGACATGGAGTGAGAATTGAGGCTATTTTCCCTCTTATGCTATTGTCAGTAAAATGGAATAACTTTTCCTCCATGTTAAAGCCCAACTTGATTTTCAGTGACAAAATTACAAACACAAATTGTGGACATTAAAAAAAATTTATTTGACCAAATATTAGATGCAATCATAGAGGAAGAAAGTAGCTCTTAGTACAGTTTCTTTTCCAGAATGAAATAATCCAAGCTACTGCAGGACAACCCTTGCTCTCCTCAGCAGGAGAGAGGTTGGTGCTCTTTCCACCTGTGGATTTTCTCCATAGGGGTATGGCATGCTCTTTGGCAGGTCACACCACAGCTCCCGGTCTCACAGGCTAAAGAAATGTGTAAAGACCCAACAAACCGAACTAGTCATACAGCAAAGGTGCCTGTACAGGTAGGAATACATGCAGGGATGCATTGCTGAGGGCTTTGTTCAGGAAGTGGTGTCCTACCTAAACCTTTGTCAGACATGTCACTCCTAACTACTGCCTCTATACTCACCACCTCTTAGGACTCCTCCTGAACCTGAATGGCATTTCAGTAGGAGGAGTCCTTTCAACATTCAGCTCATTTTGCTACACCATCCTTTTCAGGTCTCGAAGCTTTACCCTTCAAGTAGCTCCAAGGCTGTGGGCAACTTCCCTTCGCAGGAAAACTCATCCACCTCTTTCATCCTGCAATACTGCCCAGGGAGACAGCAGTCTTGTCTCATGTCCTAGGGACTACGTGAGCTGCACCACAAAAAGAGATAGTTGTGAGAGATGTTTGCAGGCATTTCTTTAGAGCCAGACTGCATTACTTGCATTTGTCTTTTTACAGGCTCACTAGCTCATGTAAGCTTGCTTTTGGACCAGGGCAAACCATCCATAGCTATATCTCTTTCTGTCACATCACTCCAGAGCATTCCCAAAGTGATTGGTCATGGCCAGATGGAGAGAACCCCCTGAGTATTGAAAGTATTGCTTGACAGACCTGTCACACCCTCTGCTACATAAACCAAAATGAAATGTCTCCGCAAATGAAGATTTAGAAATTGATGAAAGTTCTGTAATAAAATGTGAATAGAGCCACAAGGATATTAATCCCCTGAGAAACAGGTGAGAGGGGAAGGGAGCAAACACAGTGAATGTTTTTCTCCAGCAGAAATTTCATGGATTGCCTTTGCTTTTGATTTCAGCAGATAAAGCAGTGACTTTTAAGAAATGGAAGCACAACAGAAATAAGCCCTGTACCCTCCCTTCCTGTTCTGCAGCCTCAGGAAGAACTGTACAAGGTAAGTTCTGTTCTCTTGTGTAGATCTGAAACGGAGGATTTTACTGATGAAGAGGAACTCTCACTACAACATCCTCCTTTTGATTCTGAACTGAATGTATGGATAATATTACTTTGAAATTGATACCACTAGCAAATTTTTCAGGTCCCTAGAATATTCCCTGAATATTAGGATCTCAGCTAAGTAGAATCACAACTTTCATTTAATAACATTCATTCTTCTTTCCTTCTCCATCTCCCTTTCTCCATTCCATCTTTTTCCTTTTTATTCTCTTCTTTTTCTTCCTTCTCTGTTCTTTCATTACATGCATGGCTCTCCCTCTACATTTCATCCCCTGGTAGTGTTATAAAGCCTTTGCTGACAGTTTTGTCGCTTCTAGACAGAGCCGTTCATCACCGTTCCTCACCTGTTCTTTCTCCCAAAACACCACACACACAAAAAGCCTTTCAAAGTAGGTCCCCAAGTTCACAACTATCTCTTAAGATAGGACTATAACACTGGCCCCCAGTAGACAGTCCTCTCAAAAAAAGTTTTGCTCAAAGTATTACTATAGCTCCCAGTCCATTTTCTCTTCAGCCTGCTAATGGCATTTATTTAGGAAATACCTTCTCAAGGGTACTCTCAATAGAGGGCCTTTAAGAAAGAGTGCTGCTTTTTCACAGCCATGTAACTTCTACCTACTTAGGCAAACGGAATCAGAGGGGGAACCCAAGTCTCATGTTACAAACTCTGCAGCCCATGTCTGACCACATTGCAGTCGCCCCTGCCCTACTCTCTGCCAAGCCTGTAAATCAGCCAAAACACAGGCCGATTTCAAAAGTCCCCCACATTTATTATGCTGCATCAGAACTTCAAAAGTGTGTGAGCTTCGACCAGGAAACTGGTCATTTTGAACAATGTAAGGAACCTGCCTGTTCTGGGGTACTGAGTCTTCATGTATTAAAGGCTCCCCTTAGTCTGGGACACTACAGACATGTCCAGCAGGTATTATAGCTGCCTGGACCATTCTACATCTTGGCACAGTGGCAATCTAGTTCATGTCTCCCAGGCATCTGATACTGTACCCAGCAAGACACAGGTTTCCAAGCCCAGCAGCTTATCATACCCTCCTTGCTGGGGCCATAGGAGCAGTCACTCCAAGAAGGTGCAGAGCCAATACTGGCTTTAGGTGCTTCTTTCCCCTTCCTTTAAAGCGTCTTCAGACAAAGCAAAAGAACTTCTTCCAGCGGCACTTGGAGAGAGTCTTGATGCCTTTGGCAGTCATCTTCTTTTCCTGCCGTGCTTTGTGCTCAACACCACTGACAATGGCCATGTCAAAAACTTCTTTGAGGTTCTTTTGAGTCAGTGCTGAGCATTCCAGGTAGGCTTCAGCCCGGATTTTGTCAGCTAGACCTTCTGCCTGAGGCCGGGGCACAGGCTTCACATGGTAGCGATCCAGGCTGATGAGGACATTGACATCGTCCCGCAAGTCTGCCTGAGTCCCCACTAGCAGCACTGGTGCCCGGGGGTTGTGAGTTCGTATCTCAGGGATCCACTTCTCAGTAATATTTTGGAAGGAGCTTGGGTTTACCACACTGAAGCAGACAAGGAAGACGTCGGTGTCAGGATAACAAAGAGAACGTAAACAGTCAAAGTCCTCCTGTAGAAAAGGAAGGGGGGAAAACAGAAGAGGGGGGGAAATAAAAAGAAGTCTTCACTGGACTGATCTTCTAACAGCATGATACTTCAGTAGCTTTTTCACATGTTAACTAGGATAGAAAGACCCTCAGAGGCAGAGCATTGTGCTGATTTTGTGGCCATGCCACGTTTCAGACACAAGTTTCAGAGCCATTCACCAAATGGCTGGTGCTGGGCTAGTGCATTTCCTTTCTTCCCAGTTCAACACTGCCTTCCTCAAAGCCTGCAACAGTCCCTGTCCCACAGGATCAGAACTGGAATATGCTTTGATAGAGCTTACCTGTCCAGCAGTGTCCCACAGCTGAATCCGGACAGGGGCTCCATCCACAAGGACCTGCACTGTAGCAGAAAGAGAATGAGGATGAGTCTAAAGCAGTTGATCAGCATTCACACACACACTTTTAGGGGCCATTCCCAAGCACTGCGGGTCGTATCCCATTGAACAGACTCACTGAAGTCACTTAAGTCTGTCCTCCTAGCTGACTGTCCTCCCAAACCTTCCTAAAACAGCTGAAGCTTGCACTGGGAACATTAAGAGACCTGCAACAGACCTTCTGATTTTGTTGGCTCTCAGGTGTTTTGTGTACTTGTCCAGTATTTTGAAAGAATAGTTCCACATTACTGAGCAACTGTTCCTCTAGAAAAGAGGAACCCTTAGCCAAACAGTGTCCTCATTAACAACTCATCCTTCTTCCACAGCACAGGAAAGAAGATAAGGATAAAAACAAACTGAGAACTTCAGCAACTTGCTCCTAGCTTCTTGGCCAAGGAAACTCAAATCACTCTCAAACAAGCTATTGAGAGATTTTTCCCATTCAGACCAGAAATCTGGCTTTTAAAAAAAAATTCTGTGAGTGTCCTAGCTAAGGAAAAACAAAGACCTAAACCCATCTTTGAAATGAAGAAGCTATTAAGGAAACAGTGATGAGTGACATCCCCTTTAGAGACTATCCACACACTGAAAACTGGAAAACTGCTTAGTTACCCATGTAAAGTTTGCTCCCATTTCACTCCCTAATCACAGTAAGCCTTCATGTGGTATCAGCTGACTCAGACTGAGGGCTGGCAGGACCTCTGATGGAAATCTGGAATGAAACTGTTAGATGTTTAAGCACATAGATACCACAGAGACTGGTTAGGAATTGAGGAAAAGGAGAAAATGGCTAGGGAGCTGGAAGTCACTTGAAAGTCCAGACAAAGTGGATGGGGTTGTGGTTGGGTGAATAGAGGCAGACATTGAGGCTAAGGTGACAATGGCTGGCACTTGACACGAGCTAGCAAAACTCCATTTCTCTGTGCAAAGAGGAGGTTTTATTGTCTTCTTCATTAAAAACAAAAGCAAAAGCAAACAAAAAAACTCCCAACCAGAAGCCAGATCAAGTTTTTGGAATTCTTGAAGTAATCAGTCAGGCGAGAAAACTGATAGAAATAACTGACTCAGAGAGTTTAACACAAGCTTCTGAAGGAGAACACTCCTCCCTGAAAGCAGTGGGGGGGGGGGGGGGGGGGGGGGGGTGGGGGGAGGAAGAGGGAGACACAGACAAAAGATGGCCTGAAGTTTGGTGGGAGACTGGAGGAAAAATGAAGGGGTGGGTGCGTCCACCACAGTGCCACTCCTCACGGCATAGCTGAAAGTCATTGCTTCCTTGTGACTGGGAAAAAGTTGGGTTGTTACCATATCTTTGCCCCAGAGGAGGAAGAGAAACCTGTCCCTGATCAAAGGACCTGCTAGATCCTGACTTGATCTTCAAGGCAGCAGGCATTTGCCTTTCTAGTATCTGGTTTCCTCTGTCTCATAAGTGCATTGAGAGAAGGAATTAGCATCTCTGAAATGTTTTGCTGTCTTCAGAAGACAGGCACCACATATATTACCTACTGCTCCAGTGTTTGCACGAAGTTTTGTCATATCTCCTGCTAGTCTGAGCTACACTAGCAACTCTGCAACAGCCCTCCAAATACCGCCCTCACAAGGTCCGCGCCCTCAGGATGAGGATGGATCACGGTACAATAGCGAAGGGGCCGGCAGAACAGGATAGCCTGGTGGAGAAAGGTCACTGAGTACGCGTTTCACCCAAGGCTGCTCTACCTGGCAGTGACACCCAGCAGGAGGTAGCACCCAGAGATGTATGTGGCTGGGTCACTGTCCCAGAGCCGTTTCCCTAATAATGCAATACCTTGCCCTATCTTGTTATTGGCATCACAGTCCCATGACCAGGATTAAAGTCAGGATGTAAACTGCTCAGTTCTGCTGGCAGTTGCAATTGCAGGTATTCCCCAAGAGTGGGAGGAATTGGGTTGAAATTTCTGAAGTGGATCCTGAACCATAATTTTTGAATTCAGGAAGGGACTTTCCTCAGATTTATTCAGGTTAAGAGCAGGGGTGGGAAGGGAAACTTATCTATTCTCCCATTTCCTCACAAGAAGCAGAAACTGAACTTCAGAATACCTATTTTTAATGTTTTTGATTTCTATCAGTAGCAAATCCTATGCACCTCTGAAGGCAGGCTTAGTACTTGGGACATCCAGACTGGGGCTAAACCCATGTGCAGCTATTTTCAGATTGCCTATTGCTAATGTGGGCATCTCTGCACTCATGCTGCCTTCACCTTTCTGGATAATTTTATTATGGATTTGCCCTTTCAAAAAAAATGTGCAGGCTAATAACAGTAATTTTAAGCCTCTCTTAGCCCAAACCATACACTCAACATTTCCCAGTATAAAACTGAGCAAGTGGGGGGACATTCAGACAAACAAAACACTCCCTCTAAGCACCCTGAGACTATGACACATTAGATGTCTCATTCCTGGTCTGACTCGAGCACATCTCTAATCTACCAATCTGTATTATCAAGGACTGTTGTGTTTTTTCATATCAAATAAAGATAAGAAATCATTCAAAGGGCTTTGTATTCTTCTGGGGTTTATATTAGAAATCGGAGCCCAAAGGAAGAGGAATGTAGAACAAGAACAAAGATAGCATTTAGGAAAGTGGAAACTAATGAGAGCTCATCAGCTGAAAGGGAAGGCAATTCTAGCCTGACTTACAAAGCTCTTCAACTTTTTGCCAACTTCTCTTCAATGCTAACTTCAGCACTCACGTGGGGAATAGGATGGTTTTCCTGAATGTCAGTTGAAGCTACAAAGCCTACAGTGCAATGCTGTGATATTTCTGAAGCTAAAACCACCACAAACAACAATAACGAAAAAATTAAGCCCCCATCTATTTAGTCATAACAACACCACAAAACCAGGAAGGTGCCCAAGGTCATGGCACTTGCAAACCAACTCGATACACGCTGGGTTGACACAGAGCTGCAGAACGCAGGACCTCCATCCGCTAAACCTCGAAAATGCCCGAAGGAGTCGGTCCGAGTCACAGAAACGCCCTCGGGCTGTGGGCCCCCGGGCTGCGCTGGCCGCAGAGCACCCGGCGCGCAGCACCGCCGGCAGCTGCGGCACTGGGAGCGCTCACCTCCGCCCCGCTCGTCCCGATGCCGCGTCGGATGGGGATCATCCCCCGCCGCCCCAGATCCCGCGCAGCCCGGGAGGGCACCTACCGGAGAAGGTGTCAAGGGCGGTGGGCTGGTACTCGTCGGGGTACCCGTTGGTGGTGTAGCTGACCACCAGGCTGGTCTTGCCCACGGCGCCATCGCCCACCAGCACGCACTTGATGCCCAGCTCCGGGCCGCTGCCCCGGGGCGGGCTGTGTCTCCGCAGGGCGGGTGCGTAATCCAGGAGCTCCTGGGGAGGCATGGCAATTGCAATGGCACTGGCAGAGGAGGCTCCACAGCACTCAGCGACGGGAACAGCGCGGCGAGGTCACTGCCATCCCGTGCGAGCGGGCCGCTGTCGGGGCTGCCGTGCGGGGTCACCTTCTCCAGCCCGCCGAGCCTCGCTCCTCATCACTACACCTGCCACCCTACGCACAAAACCGGCCCCTATTTCCCTAGTCCCGCCCCGGTCCGCCCCGTCGGGAGGCGGCCTGGCTCACCCCTGCCCGGCCCAGCCGCCTCCTCCCGCCTCGTCCCGCGGGTGAGCGCCCCGGTCCTGCACCCCCATCCGCCGCGATGCCCTCCGAGCAGCTCCTGCCCTCGGAATTTCGGTGGCTGCCACGCCGTGCTCTGTGTCGTGCACACACGGGAAAGCTGCACTCCATCCGTCCCCCTCCTGCTTCCTTTTCAAAAGAAGCAGGGCCATTGCCCCACCTGGGGCATCTGTGATTTCTGCCATAAAATCAGGACAGGAATAAAGCCAACAGCGCTGGTCAATATTCCGAGGGACAATGAAAAACAAATGCCCGAAATACATCACATCTGTTAACTGTGTGACTGTCATTACAGTCATTTATCTGATCCAGCCAAGCTCTTGCTTTATGCTGACAAAAGCCACAGAGTGTATTTTTCCAGCTGCATGGACATGTGCAGGAGTTCCCAGCCTGCTGCCTTTTTTCATATTCACCTTTGGTAGCTCACAAACCACACTGTGCCCTTGGCAGCTGAGAAGAAGGCTCCACCCCTGCCCTCAGGAGCCTCCTGTCTAAAGAAGTAGGACTAAACAAACAGAAGGTTGGGAGCACACCACTTAAAAGGAGAGATGTGGCCACACTATCGCAGCAATCATTGCACACCAGCCATAGCACCTCCAAGTGATTGAAAACACTAGAGGGAAAATATTAATGCCTGCAATACCCAGTATTGCAACATCAGCTTTGAACATGGATCTGTGTCCTAATGGAGGAGCTAAACTCCGGCTGTCTATGAACACCACTAATTTAGTTACCATGATGTCCTTCATGGTGCTCTCAGCAAGGGAGACCTGTCTGCACTAGGCAGGTTTGTGCTGCAAGGGGCCTCTGATTAGCAGTTCCTGAGCTTGTGTCTTGCTGTGGTTTGCATCCACACTGAGAAGATACACAGGTGTTTCACCTGTATTAACACCAAACTTGAGAAGACATCTTTAAGCCAGGCACAGTCTAGAATGCTTTTCCCTATGGTTGACAGAAAGTCACAAGAGCTGCAATCCTTCAGATTCAGTGGACAAAGCATAACCACTCTTTGGAGACAGCCCACAAGCTTCCTGGGAACAAGAAGGAAGAAGGTTTTTTCTTTGCAGTTTTCTCTAGCAGTTTGCTTTAATCAACCCCTTCTGTGTTTTTACTAAAGCACAGCCTTAAATTTCTACAGCCACAAAAAAGGGGGATGGTATTAGAAATTAGACTGCTGCTAAAACATGTGCCAGATAGTCTTACTACAGCAAGTGGCTGCAGTCTCAAGGGACTGGCTTGTATTAGATTAGCCTTTTCTGGTGCCATGCTCTTCAGTGCTAGTTCAGAGCCAGGTGACAGCTGAACTGCTCCAGAAAAGGCAAAAAGTGCTGCAACGTGTGAGGTGTGGCTCTGCCTCCAATGAGACAGGCAAGGACATACTACCCCAGGGCAGGCAGCACATCAAGTGAGGACCTTGCAGAGCTTTTTCGGTGCACTTCAGACACAGGCTAACATTCTGTGAACTATGACATTTCCATTCAATCAGAAGAAATGAGTGTAAATGAGGGATCATTCACCAAATTGTTCGCTGTTAGCAGTAGCAGGGGGAAGAGATGAAGCTGACAGTTCTTGTTTCCTGTATACTGTTTACTTGGGAATGGATGTCCCTTAAGAAGATACACTGTTGCCCCACTCTACTTTTTTCTCTCATTCCTCTCCTAAAATTTCTTCCTTCTGAGACCATGCTCTGAGACTATGCTCTTTTTTCCTTGCAGCTTCTGACAGCCGTTGGCTGGCACACACAACTTGTCAATGAGCTTAAGTGATTTTTAATCTATATTTAAACTAAGTGATTAAGCAAACAAACAGGGCAGCTCCCATGGGTTCATTTCTCAGGTCTTGCCTTGCTCCTGACAGTGAACTGAAGATGCAAGTTTAATTTCACAACACAGGGAGGAGTCAGACATTTTGGGTTTTCTAGATTTTTTTTGTACAGTTTAGGGTTTTTTGCAGTGTAACTCTGTCCCATTCCCTGAGCTGCTGAACCGACAGCCACAGGGACCAGCTCTGCCACGTAGGTAGCAGGCACAGCAGGAAAGCCCCACTGCATGCTGCTTGCCTGACATGCTCCTCTGCCAAAATCAGCTGTGTCTGAGTGGGAAATACACAGTCTGCAAGGCTGTATTTGGCCTCTCTCCCAAGAATTATAATTAGTACAAATTATGATGGTCTTTCTCATGATGTGAATTCCCATCCATCAGGAATTAAGTGCAGAAGGTCAAACTCTTTTCAGGCAGATCAAATATAGATTTCAGGTACTGTTAACGTTTAGCTGTTACTCAGCTGAGCTGCACTATCACGTGTAGCTTCTAAAATGAAATAGGAAAGCTGCTCCATTAGAGTACGAAGTGATTTACAGTGGAAATAAATCTATATATTTAGGCAGTGTGTGATTGTTACCATCAAACAAACTTTACACATCTGTACAAGTCTTGTTTTTAAAAGAAACAATCATTTAGATGAAGACACTTCCTTTTCTTCCCATTTCTAATAATTATAGCCATTTTTCTCACTGCTTGTGTGGAAGGAGAAATTCACCTATTGACCAAATTAAGACCAGTACATAAACCAATTTGGATGAGGAGGAAACTAGGACTTGTCCCTTGTGGGGATAAAACTATGGATCAGCTCAAACTATTCCACATAGTTTCCCTTCTGAAATGCAGTGTTATAATTTTGGGAAATTGTGACACTGGGCTTTTTTTGCAGGACTGGTCCTGACTTCATGGGCTCCTGAGAAATATTTCACCTCCAACAATCTCTTAGTCTTCACCTCTGACAACGTTGTCTTCTGTGTACCTGGCTTATATTCTGCTCCCAAGTCTTATCTGAAAGTCACAGACTGGAAGCCACTATTGTTTTTGCAAAGCCTACCGATCTACTCACATTGCCTCAGAAAAAGTATCTCATGTTACGGGAGTTGGTAGAACCCAGTTTTAAAAATATTAGGGCTCCCTTCTTACCAAGAGAGAGGGAAAAAATTATCAGCCGCTCTTAACACAGTAGTGAGCAAACACAGCCTTCAGTGTTACTTGCATTTGTGCAGGTGGGCTGCGTATGTCAACGTGCTTCCTTTGCAAGTGGTGCCCTTGGATCACATTTCTGAATCCTTTTGTGGTGCTGTGCAAGAAAAACCTTAAATGATGAGAAATGGGGGCACGGTGAGAACAGGTGACAATGTCATTGTGCATTGGGGCTGGTGAGCGGGGATCTAAGACTAAGAGCGGGGCTAAACCGGAGTGCAGGTTCCCGAGCAACCCGGGTCCCGCGATGCCAAGGGATACGTTGAAGAAATCAAGATACAGCCGCTGCCCAGCCGGTTGCATTCACAGTCATAAGCAATGAGACAACCGGTGCTGAGTCACCCAGTCTTTTGTCATGCACCTGAGTGAGTATCCTCCCTGGGAAAAATCAAGCGTAATTACCAGTTAAAAGAAGTGACAGACAAAAGGGTGAAGACAAGAGCCTGAGCCCAGTTTTCCCTTGCGGTGTGCCTTGTCTGGTCACTGCAACGTGCAGGAAGTGATGTCAAATGCTTCTTCGTATCATTTTCTATCAACTTCACAGAGACAGAAACAGCCACAACACAAGTGAAAAATCAGGCTGTGGTTATTGACAGAAAAATTACTACAACTGAAATCAAAGGAAAAAATATTCTAGTATTTGCTTTCCAATATAGAGTTCTTGATTGATAGGAACTCTGTAGTTTCTGAGTTCACAGCAACAAAAATACTTTACAATTCTAGAACAGCTAATGGGTACTTCTGATGTGAACTGGAGATGCGTGGGTTTGAAATACCTTTTGGGAAAATAAAACAAAAAAAAAAAAAGGTAGAGAAACAACATTTAATGCAGCTCTCACTATCCTGGCCTTTGAATTACCCTAGTGCTTCTTCAAATTAAAAGCATGCTATGGGAGATGCACAGAGATGTTCTGGTTCATCTGTTCACTGCCACTCTAATTAAATGGGGAGGCAAAGAGCCACAACAATTTAAGACTACAGAATAATAAGTTTAAATGACATGACAATGTCACTAGCTCAGAAAATATTTTCTTACATGTTCCAAGGAAAGACAAGCACCTGTATTGCACTAAGCCCCGTTCTCAAAGAGAAATTCATTTCCCATATGACTTGCACAGGAACGAGTCCTGCCTCTCATCTGTTCTGTAAATAATTTAGAAGTGTGTTGCCATCTGCTGGAGAAGGTACATCTTTTAATACATCAACTGATAAATGTGAAAGAACAGGCAAGATTTAAGGCACTCAAAGCCCTTTCTTTAAATCTGAAAGAGAAGCAGCAAATTTCAGACTACAGACAGGTTGGGAGAGAATGGTCTGAGCTTAATTTATTATTATGTCAATCAATTAGACACTTTATCAAAAAAGAGGAGTTAACAATTAACTGGAATGGGCGAGGGAATTAACAAGAGGAAAGTGATAAAGTTCATACCCTCACTGTGAAACAGGGAAAGGCAGGCAGTTAACACCAAACAGTGAGGAGCTGGGTTGAAGAGGGATTGTTAGGAAAATCATAAAAAGCTGTAAGACCACTGTCTCAACCAAGTTACCAGTTTCAGCTCCCAAGTTTATCCTTTATGGATCTTCCTTGAAGATCAGAATTGAGGGATTAGCTACAGGGTCTTGGTGACCAGAAAAACGTTCCTGTCCTTTTTATCCTCATTGTAGGACTGAGAGGTTACGCTCTAGGTTTCCATGGGGCACTCAGTGGGCTTACAAAGGGCAGAATGATCTGGAATGCATATGTAGCATCAACAGACCTTGGTAGTTCACTTGTGGGAGAACTTCTTAAGGCGTCAGGGTATGCAAGCCTGCAATTGCTGCTCTGGCATAATATGGTTCCACCCAGCGTTTACCAGTCTGCAGGAAGTCTGCTTCTGACAATGAGTTTGAGGAGCTTGGGAGGTTGGTTAATCGTTAGGAGGTGGGCTCTGGCAAACTCATTGTTAGCTGTGATCTCTTTCAGGATAAATTATAATTGTTGTATGGCTCCCCATGTAGGTTCCAATTCAGGTTCTCATGGGTAACTGTGATACCCATGGGTACACAGCCATTGCGATTTCTTTTACTGCATTAATTTGTACATAGCATTCAAGTGGTCACTCAAAACCACTCTCCCTTCTCCTGGGAGAAAGTCTCTTGATTGGATGGGAACATAGGTACCTGCAGCACTATCCTCAAAGCAGGTACAGGAGTGTCTGAGAGCCTGGCTGTATCTTTGTTGGTATCTTATGGAGGCTGTTGGATTCGGGGAATTACACCTATTTGCCTATGGCTTTTATGAATGCAGTGTATTTTTTATGTTGATCACAGTGAAGGAATATTCTATATAAAGTGAGGTGGAATGATGATCAGTACTGCATCTGTAGTGGAAATGTAAGAGGAAGTCCAGGGTTTAATTCAAATTATAATTGTGTCACTAGGTTCTGCCCTTACCTCTTCCCACAGCCACATCTTCCGGCTGTCTCCTCTGCATCAGCACTCATGTTCAGATTGTGGATCACATACTCATCTGCTGTAGGGCAATGAACTGTCTCACTCTACAATCATACATGCCCTGAGGTGCACAAAGTGTGGGCTGGACAGGGCAGCCAGGAATGACACAGACAGTGTTGAGGAAGCCCAGATTCAGACAGGCTAAATATTCTAGAAGTCTGGACCTTGGACACATTATATGTTTGTCAAGACCATTATCTAGAATCTGTTCCTCAAGACAGCTGAAGAGATTAGCACGTCATCCAGCATCTGGATGTTGATAGCTGTGTCCATAGCTTGGAGAAAATGTTAACTGCGTACGTTAAAATTACTGCAAATTACTGCAGCTGTGACCACAGTCACACCAAAACAAGACCAGGATTTAGGTTTCCAATCCAAACATATCACCAAAATCACCTAGGTTCTCTCCCACAAGTTCCTCTTCTAGACTTATACCACTGCTACACACAAAATGTAATCATCTGATTCTCCACACATTCCTGGTGAATCAAAGAGCTGATAAATCTTTTGCCTGCAACCCTTGCTCTCCTCTTCTTTTCGGAATACCAAATCTGTGAATGTAGCACTGGGATATAATTATTGTATATGTTTGTAAATTAAATAATCACAGCAGATGATAGTGCAGATGGACAGAGCAGGATTGTGGGCCCGGATTAGCTTTAGGCTGGTGTTCCATTTCCAAATAAGGTGAGAATCTGGCTTCCAATTTAACCACACTAAAATCAGACACAGGTTTCTCATTAGCTATCAGCCCTAACAGGCTATAACATCTGTCTGAATAAGAAAGAAAATCTCTTTCATTTCTGGATGTGACCAAGAAAAAAAATTATAAAGATATGTCCTAATCTAGGCTTTGAGTGGAAACAGCCCATAGAGCTGGACACTGAGAAATTTGTGCAAAATGTCAATTTAGCCTAATTTCTAGATATATTTCAAGACAGTTTATTTCCCCCTTACCAAATAATCCTTCAGTCTTCTACTGCTAAAAATATGACTAAGAAGAGAAAAAGTATGAGCATCATTGTTGAAGGCAACAGGGGGAGACCTCACCTGAAATGAGGGGTTAAACTATGCTCAGGCCTGTTACATAAACATAAGCTGAAGCTACAACTGATGCAGAGAACTACTTGGATGCTCCAGGAAACTAATCACCTCATCTTTTTAAGATGAGAAAGGCAGGAACTTCTTGATAAATCCTGGATTTGGTACATCTGAATGAAGGCTATCATTGGTTATGACTTTTGCAGAGGAAATGAACGCTCTCAGATGTCCTGTATGCTAAAGGACAGTGTTTGAACAAGAACGAAAGGATTCAGACTAGCCACAGCTTATGTTAGGCTGGAAATCAGAGCTTGAAATCAGAGTTTGAAATCCTGAGAGCATTTGGAACAGGTACCTGCTGGAGCAGTTGGGGGAAAAAATACCCACGCTCTCAGACAGAGCTTGATAGGAATAGAGAAAGCACTATATGATGTGGTATCTACAAGAGTGGGAGAATGGATCTGATAGTCCAAGTCCCTTCCTAACTCATTACCCTAAACCTAATGTAATTTGTATGTACCTTCTAAGAAGCTGAAGGAGAACAGTTGCTGCTTATGATGATCAGGATGATTAGACAGCAAAAGAATGTGGTTTTGTTATTTTGGCTCAGAGCTGCCACATAAAGAGGCTAAAGAGCAGAAGCTGGAACTGGGTCTTGGCTCCTGCCAGTGCTTGCGGGCAGGCAGAGTCAGCAAAAGCCATGTTCTGTTTTTAGCGAAGCAGGCAGAGGTGACCCTGTGGAGGCATACCATTGGAGCCTCCAGGAACCCTGCTAGCGTGGGACCTGCATATTTGGCTAAGCACTGGGGAGAAGGCCTGAGGCTGAGTGATGCAGACCACAGCTCTAGTTTATGGGAGTGAGGTGTCCAGTAAAAGACCAGAGAAAAAGGAGATATAACTTTGTGCAAAGGCAACCACATGCCACTGCTGCTAGTGGCGTCTCACTGCCACCTGATGTCCAAACTAAGTTTGGGAAGACCTCCTCGATCTTGTAATGGATCCCTCCGTGTTGCAAACTGTCCTGTACCCTGTGGGACAACATTTCTCTGTTCTTTCCAGAAAGTGAAAATTACATCTAATATACAGTATAAACTCACAGTATAGTATATAGCATACATATAGTATACAGCATACATATAGTATACACATAGACATCTCTATTCATTTTATATAGCCTGGAGGAGACTGAGGGGAGACCTCATTGCAGTCTACAACTTCCTCATGAGAGGAAGAGGAGGGGCAGGCACCCATCTCTTCTCTATGGTGACCAGTGACAGAGCCTGAGGGAATGGCCCGAAGTTGTGTCAGGGGAGGTTTAGGTTGGGTATTAGAAAGAGGTTCTTCACCCAGAGGTGGTTGGGCACTGGAAAAGGCTCCCCAGGGAAGTGGTCACAGCACCAAGCCTGACTGAGTTCAGGAAGCATTTGGAAAATACTCTCGGGCACCTGGTGTGACTCTTGGGGATGGTCCTGTGCAGGGCCAGGAGTTGGACTCATGGATCCTTGTGGGTCCCTTCCAACTTGGCATACTCTGTGATTCTGTGAAACCCAAAGGGTTGTATAAAAGATTAGTCTTTTTGTTAAAGCCATTGTTATAAATTCCGCTAGTTTAATCTAGCAGGTAAAATTGTAAATAACAATTGTTAGCACACCAGAACAAAAGAAACCCTCAAGTTATAAGCACTATTTAGCGATACAGCTGAGTCCAACACATTTAGTCTAGAAAGCTGGGATAAATTTGCAGAGCAAGTCCAGTATAGTTCAAGAACAGCTGGATCCCCATATGCTGTGCCTCAATCATCATTATAGCAATAGAGGCAAGATTTTACCACTCAGTACTACACAAGAGCCACAACACAGGAGTTTTTACAGGAGTATTTAAAAACAGACAATCCCTAGTTGCAGTAAGTAGAATCACTATGAAATACTGTGTTTGTAGGACCATCAGGACTGATTCTAGTGCTGCACACTGCTGCACTCAGAAGGGATTTCTCATGCACACGGTGCACGCAACAGGACAGCCTCACCGAAAAATGGGAAAGAAAACTTTCAAACCAGAGCTACAGGTTAGAAAGCCAACATTACTTTGTTACAGCACCAGGTACATGGGGGGTATCTCTGCCTATCAGGCACATGGAGATTCACATTTCTATTGCTTATATCCAATTTATTGTATGCATACGTATTTACACCTCAGAAGTTTACGCCTATTTCCAAGAATCTTTATTCATGTTAATCAATTACATAGATCTTATTACACATGCACACATATTTGGGAAGGGGTCATTTGAGGGGTCTCTAGTATTTATTTGGGATGGTACCCTACCTCTTTTTATCGTTATTTGGTCACAAATACAGGTTTTCAAGTTTGGCATGGTTCTATCTTGTTATATTCAGCAACGAAACCAGACTGTCCAACTCCCATAGAGGAACTTCTGGTTTATTACTGGCATAAAAAACTGCCGATAAAAGATCATCTGATTATTACTGACATATAAAACTCCTTTGTTTATTCGAGCAGGCCCTTTCTTATTTCAACAGAAGCTTTTTGGCATCAACGGCAGCGAGCAGAAGCTGCGGGCACTGCACGGAGCCCAAGGCCTGGAAGCAAGGGTACAGGACAGTTAGCCATTCTCGGGGGAAGGTCAGGGACACGAAGGTCCGGGATGCGAATACAGCCCTGACTAATTCCAGCGCCATTTTGCGGAGGGAGCGGCCCTTCCCGCCCGGCGGGCCCGGCCCGCAGGCGCGGTGCGGCCACGTGACGGGATCAGCTGAGCGCGGGGGAGCGGCCGGCGCGGCTCGGGGGGCGCCGAGGCCGGAGCCGGGACTGGAACCGGGGCCGGTGTCGGCGTCGGCCATGGCCTCCATCCTGGACGAGTACGAGGATTCCCTACACCGCTCCGCCTCTGTGCAGCAGAGCCGCGCCAGCGTGGGCATCCCGCACTCCGGTAGGTGTCCTCCTGCACTCGGCGGGGCCTTCGGTATGCGGGTCTTCCTGCTGAGAGCGAGGAGGCGAGTGGGCAACTCTGGGTGGTGACTAGGATGTGTCAGGCTGTGGGGAGTGCTTCCAGGAAAAGGTGTATCGCTGTGTGTGTCGCACAGCTTTCAGCTGCGATTTGATTCTCCGTTGTTTGCTGTGTGAAATGCTTTGACACAGGGAGCACCTGATTGCCGGTGGAGCAGAGGGGTGATGCAGCGCCTTAGCAGAACTGAGGTGCTGCTGTCTGTGGGAGGGTCTGCACGGCCCCTGTGCCCTGCGGTGCGAACACGCGTGCACCAAGTGGCGTATGCCTCTGTAGTCACAAGTTATAACCAACCACACCTCAGCCCTGCCCCGCTCAGAGCTGTGGTAGCTGGTTGAGAACATTTCATCACTTTGCTTCTTTTTTTATCTCCTCTCTGAGGAAGCCAGCTGTTACAGTGTTATGGATGTGTGCACAGCTGTACCTGTATGCAGTTAGTTTCCTAACTCAGGGGCAGTTTCCGAAGACTTCGTTTCTTTCGAGTGGTTCCCTTAGGCTGACTACATGATGGCAAGGTTACCAAGAAATCAGTCTGTATCACTATTAAACTTTTCTGTCAAGATCTGTGAAGCTTTGGTATACGGTCCTATTCAGGGAGGTGTCCAATTGATGTAAAGTGATGGTGTGATCCCCAGTCAGTTGTTTCTTTCCTGTGAGAGAAAGCAAACAAATGGCAGGAATATTCCATGATAAATTCAAGCTTTATTAGGTTCAATAACCATTCCCTATTAGATGCCACCATTCAACATTTTGTTGGGTGTGGCAGGGAAATATAGGTTATGAGACGATTCTGTTCTATCTGGTATTGTCATGGTAGTACCAGCTGCTGTGCAGAGCTGGCTTTTTTGAGTTACAAGTGTGGAAATATGTGGACACATTCTTTCAAATTTTTTCTTCATATGGTCTTGCCCACTGTGAATCTTCAGGGAAACCAGGTTATGAGGTTCATATATGCAGTAAGAATTGATGAATTCTGTCATGCTGTGGATATTATTGAGTGCTGGCAGAATTACTCTGAGCCTAAGTACTGAAGTAGGTATGTTCCTCTTGTTTGTTTCGACATAAATTGTTATTTTGTATTGTAATGTTAGATAAAGAATAAGTGGCCTGAAGAGGTGTTGTGCAGAACAGTGTTGGGACAGGCCAGGTCACTGAAAATAAATTTTCAAGGCCTCAGCTTTTCTTCTTGACTGCTGCAACACCTGTCTCCAGTCACGGCTGCTTTACAGTTGAGAAATCTGCCTGTTTGCTGACAGTTGATGTTGGCAAAGGAAGTTGGGGAAACTGGTAAATGGCAAAGGCGCAGCCTAATCAGCATTTTAATTATTCTTAAATCAGACCAGACTGGCAATTTTTAATAAAACTTGGGCTGGTAAAACTTGTGGGCAATCTGAAATTTAAGCAAATTTATTTTGGAAAAAGATACAATAGCTAATTTCCTGAAGGCAGTCCATAAGGTTAGATTGGAAATTTTGGAAGATGGTGAAACATATTTCTCAGTTTCAGTTAGTTGTCCCCTGCATTTGTTAAACTGCAGGTATTGTTTCTCAAAGTTGTAGATAACCAAGCAGTGACACTCTATCCAACCTAAAGTCCTGCTGAGTTGTGTATTGAGTGTGCTTCAAAGTGGTGCTGGTAGTCCCAGTTTAGAGAATGTTAGGCCTATGCTCTGTAGGGCAGAAGTAGTGGGGTAGCTTCTATGGTAGTGTCTGCTCAGAACCCTCTTTGTGCTGGGTAATACCAACCATTCTTTCCTGTCTTGAACAAATAAACTGTCAATCAAGGAAAACAAATTATTATGTGATTCTACTCTCATTTTCAGCTCTTTTTGCAGTTTATGTGACAGTTTTCTGGCATCCCCTGCAATTCGATGTGCTTTCAAATTAATACCTACGACAAGTCTGCAGTTCTGTGACAAGACAGTAAAGCATATTATTACTTTTCTTTCCTGTTATACATATCTACATGAGTGCTGCTCTCTGTGTTCATGCTCCATGGAGCACCCATTTTTCAGTAAAACTCGGAGCAGGCAATGATCCTTCTAGTCTTTTAGGTTGGATTTTGATGCAGTATGGGATTATTGTTGCGGTGTTTTGTCTTATTTAGTTTTTAAGTGTTCGCATTCTTTCTCCAGGCTATGTGAATGCACGACTGGAGAAGGAAACACCAATATTTAACAAGCAAAGGATTGATTTTGCTCCTCCAGAGAAAATTAACAGCTTAGTGGTCTCCTCTAACCAGCTCTGTATGAGCCTTGGCAAAGACACCATTCTCAGGTAATGCTGCCAGAGTCCTGAAGTTACTGCTTGTTTTCCCCTATCTGTTTGGGTTTTTTTTTTCTTAAGTTATTAGAGAACTTATATTTGCAAACTGGATAAGAAGCCATGAGCCAAATATGGAAAACAGGTAAGGAGTTACATGTACATGGCCTTCTGTTGGAAGCACGCTTTCATGGTTTCTCTTTGCAGGATTGATCTTGGGAAGCCAGATGAACCTAATCAGGTAGAGCTGGGACGCAAAGATGAAGCCAGAGTCTACAAGATGTTTTTGGACCACACAGGTGAGGCAGTGGACCATATATATATACAGACAGTGGTCAGTGGTGCAATTCAACATGCATAACAAAGCTCTGGTGAAGTTTGCTTTCTGTTCTGTATATAAGGAGAACAGGTCAATCTTCTGGGCCAGGCTCTGTTGCCCAGGGACCCTGCTTACTGATTTGCCCTTTTGCTAGTAGTAAAACACTGGCTTGTTGTGTCTGTGTTGTGTTTCAGAACTCTCTAAAATGAACACATGCAATTAGGCTGTTGTAAGCAAGGCTGCTAAAGCCAGTAAAAGGAAATTTCTGGCCATCACTCTGTGCCGTATGGTTTATATAAGGCTTTTTAAAAAGGACCATAAAACATCTGCAGTTTGTAGCCTTGACTGATTTTAAAAAAACTAAATGAAAGTTTGGAAGGAGATGCTTGTATCTCACCAACTCCCAGGTGTAGTAGGGAACTCTGGGAACTGTTTATCCTTAGGACACTTATTGAAACACAATACCTTCTTGCTAAAGCATCTGGGACTAGTAATGTAAGTTTGCAACATATGGACTACCATTCTGATCCAACGTGGAAATCCCCCACATTCCTGTGAATGCCTGGGAAAGTGTTGGAGTAAGTATGTTGATATTAGAATTTATCAAATGTTAGGATTAGAAGCCTCAGGAATTTGGCTTGCTTAGGCACAGTCTTAATTTGTTCTCTCCTTCTCCTTCCCATACCCATCTCCTGTTGGCAGGCTCCCATCTCCTGATTGCTCTGAACACCAGTGAATGCCTTTACCTGAACAGAAGTGTTCAGAAAGTGCGGGCACTCTCTCGCTGGAAAGGACACTTGATTGAAAGTGTGGGCTGGAACAAATTTCTTGGTTCAGAGACCAACACTGGGCCCATCCTGGTGGGGACATCCCAGGGGCAGATCTATGAGGCTGAAATCTCTGTCAGCGAAGGAAGCCTCTTCAGCACTAACCCTGACCAGTACTTCCGACAGGTCTACACTCTGGAGGAGGAATCAGGACCTGCCCCAGTCTGCTGCTTGGAGATTGAACGAGGGATAGAAGGGAAATTTTTTATTATCGCAACCACTAGGAAGAGACTCTTCCAGTTTGTTGGCAAAGTGCCTGAAGGAACAGAGCAGCAAGGCTTCAGCTCCATATTTGCTATGCATGCTGACCATTTGCCCAGCTTTCGGGAGTTTCCGGCCAACTTGGGATTCAGTGAGATAGCCTTTTACACTCCAAAACTGCGCTCCAACCCACGCTCCTTTGCCTGGATGATGGGAAATGGTGTTTTATATGGTACGTTGGATTATAGTCGTCCTGATTCCATTTTGAGTGATGAACGGGTCTGGGTTTATCCTTCTGATATTGACATAACTGTGAACAAGCCAATATCCATTGTACTTACCCAGTTCCACTTCCTGTTGCTGCTGCCTGACCGGGTGAAGGCTGTATGCACTCTGAATGGGCAGGTTGTTTTCCAAGATCTCTTCCTGGAGAAGTTTGGCCTGCTGACGTGCATGATCAAAGATCCCACAGTCCAGCAGATATGGATCCACACTGAGAAAGTAGTGTTCCGCTACCATGTCCAACGGGAATCTAGAGATGTGTGGAAGATGTATATGAATATGAACAAATTTGATTTAGCTAAAGAGTATTGTAAGGACCGTCCAGAGTGTCTAGATATTGTACTGGCAAAGGAGGCAGAGCACTGTTTCCAAAACAAGAGGTATCTAGACAGTGCCAAATGTTACGCACTGACCCAGAACTACTTTGAGGAAATTGCTCTGAAGTTCATTGAAGCCAAGCAAGAAGAGGCCCTGATGGAGTTTCTGATTAAGAAGCTAAGTAACCTAAAACCTTCAGAGAAGACACAGACCACTCTGCTGACCACGTGGTTGACAGAGCTGTACCTGAACTGGCTGGGTATATTGGAAGGAGATCCCTCACAGCGAAATCTCTATTTAGATACACGGGAGAAGTTTCGCACTTTCCTGAGCAGTCCTAAAAACAAAGACTGTCTTTTTAATAATCGGGCATCTATTTATGAGCTGTTGGCAAGCCATGGAGACACAGAGCACATGGTGTACTTTGCAGTCATCATGCAGGATTATGAGCGTGTAGTAGCTCACCACTGCCAGCATGATGAGTACGATGAGGCTCTAAATGTGTTGTCCAGGCACAGAGACGAGAAGCTGTTCTACAAGTTCTCTCCAGTTCTCATCCAGCATATTCCCAAGAAGGTAGTTGATGCTTGGATTTCTATGGGCTCTAGACTGGATGCCAGGAACCTCATTCCAGCCCTTGTTAACTATAGCCAGAGTGCCAGCACCCAGCAGATCAATGAAGCCATTAGATATATGGAGTTCTGTGTCTATCAGTTGGAGGAAACCCAGCAAGCCATTCACAACTACCTGTTGTCTCTTTATGCTTTATGTCGGCCAGACTCACTGCTATCATACCTGGAGCAAGCAGGAACCAACCCAAACAGGATCCACTATGACCTGAAGTATGCATTGCGCCTGTGTGCAGAGCATGGGCACCACCATGCATGTGTCCATATTTACAAAGTGATGGAATTATATGAGGAGGCTGTGGATCTCGCTTTACAGGTGTGTGTGTGTGTCTGTGCATGCTATGATATACAGCAATGTAGCTTATTCAAGTTACCTTGAACAATGGAGCATTGAGAGGAGCTGGACAGACTCATCAGGATTGAAGCTGTGCAGCTAAGGCTAGGAGGAAAGACCTGTCTCTATTAACATACTTCTATGCTTTCACAATTGTTTTAAGTAGACAGCTGACTGTTACAAGCCATAACTGAGCGTAGGGCCGTGGAAAGCACAAGGGGGAGTACTGTCTGTCTTAAGCTCAGTCTCTGACATAAAATACCTTTAACATATCTGCCTTTATGCAAGACTTGTATAGCTACTGTTAAGGATTCTAATTACTTCCTGTTCCTAGCTGTGAAAATTGTCACAGAAGAATGCCTTCGTCAGCTTAATCTGACCTTCACTGAGATGCTGGATTTTTTTCTATTGGCCTTGCTATGTCTTAGCTGAAATGTGTGACCAGCAAAGATACTATAACATGGATTTGCCCTTTTTGTGCTGGGCTTTGTTCTCTGTTGGGTAGCAAGCAAATCATCATGGGGGAATACTAGTGGAGAGGAGAGATGTTTGACATGTAAACAAGGAGCAGGCCTGTAGTGCAGTCCTAGGCAAAGAGAAGTTTTCTGTTAATTCCTCCTATAATGGACAGCAGGCTTTGAAGTTGAATGGTGGATAAACAAAGAGGGAAACTTAACTCTGTTTCCTTGTCTGTCCAACTTCTAGGTGGATGTTGATCTTGCCAAGTCCTGTGCAGATCTTCCTGAAGATGATGAGGAACTCCGAAAGAAGCTGTGGTTGAAGATCGCTCGGCATGTTGTTCAGGAAGAGAAGGATGTCAAGAAGGCAATGGCCTGCCTGTCCAGTTGTGCCCTGCTGAAGATTGAAGATGTGCTGCCATTCTTTCCAGACTTTGTCACTATTGACCATTTCAAGGAGGCAATCTGTAACTCGCTGGAGGACTACAACAAACACATTGAGGAGCTGAAAAGGGAGATGGAGGAAGCCACACAGAGTGCCAAGAGGATCCGAGAGGACATCCAAGAAATGAGAAATAAGTATGGGTCTGTGGAACCTCAGGAAAAATGTGCTGCTTGTGACTTTCCACTTCTAAACCGCCCTTTTTACCTTTTCCTGTGTGGTCACATGTTTCACTATGACTGTCTCCTCCAAGCAGTTTTCCCAAACCTTCCTGCCTATAAGCAGGCAAAACTTGAAGATCTTCAGAAGAAGCTGGCAGCTACCAGTCAGCCGTCCAAGAGCCACCATCGTCCCAAGGATGCAGATACCATTAGCCTGGGGAAGGGGCAGCATAGTCGGGAACAGATCAAAGCTGACATTGATGATATCGTGGCAGCAGAATGTGTGTACTGTGGTGAGCTGATGATCCGATCCATTGACAAACCTTTTATTGATCCCCAAAAGTATGAAGAGGAGATGCAAAGCTGGCTGTAGTTTTTCCGAATCTGCAGCTGTCAGTGTGTGAGAGTGGTTTTGTTCACAACTTGTGAAACTTCTGTGGTGGCAGTATAACCTCCAGGAGCAGGAATACGGTGGCTTCTGTGGAACTCTAAGGAGAGTAGTGGGGTCTTTTTACCAGGATTACAGAGAAGTAGTCCTGAAAAATGGGGAGATACAGCTATGGCTGTTTAAGAACTTGAGCAATAGTTAGAACTAACTTACATCCTGGAATATATTTAGCAGATGTTTGCTGCTTGCAGTTCTTCTGAGGTTCTCAATGGGAAGCTAATGGAGTGTCTTGTTGTCCAGAAGGAATTGAGAATAGCCCATGATTTGTCTTCCCTGTTGTGTGGTATTTGTTTTGGTGAAGACAAGCTTAAAGGGAAAGATAGTGAAGGACGCTAAGCAATGTAGTCTTCATTTATCACTTTCAAAGCTGGAATTGTCATCTGTTTCCTTTTTGCTGAGAATCTTTAACCACATACATGGGAGGAACATGAAAGGACAAATGCTCTTGCGTATGTATTTTGTAAACATCATGCTACACAAATACATGTTTCTATGCAATGGCGATGTAAGAATGTGTATAATTCTCAAGCAGGAGTGTCTCATAATACACTAAAATAATTTGCCTGCAATTCAAGATGTGTAATTCTCTTTCTCACAAGCTTTATGCACAAGCCTATCCATTTGAATTTTCTCTAGGTATTGTTTCTGGAAATGCTTGTTCACCCATTTCTCCCTCTCTCCATGCTGTTCCTACTATGACTGCCTTTGTATAGCGTGTCTTGGTTTTATCTTCACCCCAAATCAAAATTGATATATGCAGTAATAAGGTTTCAACTGATGTTCTGCAAGCAGAAACACAACCTGTTTCTATTATCCTGAAGTGGTCCTCTTCAAGCTGCACTTGATACTAGACTAGAGATCTAGTCAGAGTTTCACTCAGTCGTAGTCTACGGAAAAATTCTGTGGTGTGAAATTTTGCTTTGCCCTTTAAAGCCAGTACCTTGCGCTTAAAAAGTCTTTTGCCTTCCTGGTAGTATTTGATACTTTCTGAAAATGGCTGTAAGTCACTGCTTCTATCTATTGCTCCAATTTGGAAAATTCTTCCCAGAAGATAGCAATCACTACTTGTGAGTGAGGGAACAAAATATTTTCTTTAGAGATTTAACAAGAGTTCCTTATTTATTTAAAGAAAATACAATTTTAATTAAGTTTTGCCATTTGGGGCTAAATCACAAAGGTAGTAATTGACAGAAGAATTGAATGTTCTAAAAGGAGAAAATCATACTCTTGTAATTAAGACAATAGAAATTACTGTCTTCTGAAAAACCTTTTCAGTTCTTTCATATGAATGTGCTTGTCTCTCAGTCTCCTAATCTCCCTGTTTATAGGGTTGTAGAAATGGGTCTTCATGTTAGTATAAATTGGTGTCCTCAAGGATCTGACCTAAGAATTATGGTAACAATTCAGAACTTCAGAAGAACTTCTATGCTTTTATTTGGAGCTAGCCCGGAATGAATGAATTTTATCTGTGTAAAATGACATGAGTAATAAAGAACAGATCTGACGGTAGGAAGACCTGAGGTTTTGAAATCCTCTTTCCTTTGTCGGAGCCATGGGATAGGCAGTCTTGTTACCACCTGATGGTGTGTGTTTCTTGGCTTATCAGAAACCACTGTTTCAGTGGTTCCATTAAGAGGCGCCTCAGAAACCCCCACGTGTAGTTTTCTTTGGCTCTAGGAGTGCGCACCAGATGCATATACCACAAATCTCATGCTTCCTCACCATTGTTAACTGAAAAATCATTTACGTGATTTGTTGTCAAGGTTGTGGAGAGTGTTACTGCCAGCAAAGACTGCAGCAGTGATTAAATGACTGGTGCCAGTGGTACAGGAAGCTACATAAAGGTATCTTTTGAACTTTCTTTGCATTGTCACATGTTTCAAAAGTTTCAATAACCACTCGTGCTTCTTGGCAATTTTGCAGTGTCACTCAGCGAAAAAGGTAAGAGGGTTTATTTTCTTGGGAGGCAAGTGGGTATGTGGTGGTGGAGGGAAGTGAACTGCTTACTGTTCTCCCATAAATCTAATCTGCAAGGTCTTTCTCTTTGCTTTCAGAATAGCGTTTTTATCTTTTCTCCTTGTAATTTCACCATAGTTACATTTTAGGACTCAGTCCTTTGTTTTTTTAGCTATGAATGAACTGTATACCAGCTGTTACAAATGGTGTGGCCTTGGGCTTTGTCCTTGTCTGTGTGAATAACCCCTACCATTTAGTTTAATGCAGCTAAAGAACAGCATAACCAAAAAGGTGGTTGGGACCCCCAGCCCTGTGTACCCAGAAAAAATACCTGTAGCTCAGGCAAGGCCTAAAGCAAACTTGTGCCTACTACATCACCTCTCCTAGGCCTTGAACCAAGGGATGGGGGGAAATACTCAGAGTTGGGGGAGACAGTGGTGAGTGTGTGTGTTGAAAGAGTTTGTAGAGAATTTCAGGTGCACTTGCTGTTGATCTGTGTTGTTGGAAGCAGCTAACTGAAACTTGGAGAGCAGTGTGTTCTGTCTCCTTTCGAAAAATGAATGCCCAGGCTGGAAATTTAGAAAGGCAAATTCTTAACAAGCCACTAGATGTCATTGCTGTCCATTTAAATACTGAGGTTTGATGCATAGAGCTACAGGTGTTCTGTAGCAGAAGAAAGAATAGTACAAAAGCGAGGAACTGAACCAGGATCCCAGCGCCTTTGGAGGTGTGTGGATACAGACCTGTAAGGTGGTTACTGGAGGTAAAAATGTTAAAAAATTGTCTTTAACTAAAAGGCAATTTTGTTCCCAGATCACTTTTTCAGGTTTTGAGTATCAAAAGATGCATTTACTCTGTTAATTAAACAAGTATCATAAAATTGTAAAATCATTTATGTTGGAAAAGATCATCAAGTCCAACTGCTCACCCAGCACTGCCAAGTCCACCACTAAACCATGTCCCCAAGTGCCACATCCACATGCCTTTTAAATACCTCCCAGGATGGTGATTCTGTCACTTCCCTGGACATCCTGTTCCAATGCCTGACCACTCTTTCAGTGAAGAAATTTTTCCTGATATCCAATCTAAGTCTCTCCTGGCACAACTTGAGGCTATTTCCTCTTATCCTGTCATTTGTTACCTGGGAGAAGAGACCAACCTCCCCCTTGCTACAACCTCCTTTCAGGTAGTTGTAAAGAGCAATAAGATCCCTTCTAAGCCTCCTTTTCTCCAGGCTAAACAACCACAGTTCCCTCAGCCACTCCTCCTAAGACTTCTGCTCCAGACCGTTGTTACTCTTTGGACATGCTCCAGCACCTCAATATCTGTCTTGTGGTGGGAGGCCCAAAACTGAATACGGTGTTTGAGGTGCAGCATCTTTTGTTAGCTGTATTGTAGTGTAAGTTCTCTACAGACCTAGTTGATTTAATAAACTGTAGAGAGATCATCCTTGGGCTTGGAGTTGCAGTGTCTGGTGGCCTCGGGCCTGGCCATTTTTGCTTGCTTCCTCTTCACTTTGTCCTGACAGCAGATGCACAGACTGTGAGCCAGCTCCTTAGTTGCCTGAGTTCACATTTAGTGTGTCTTGTTAAAAGCACCAGTAAAGCTGGATTTGTAATATGATATTGGACACTGGCTTGCATAAACAGGTAAGTTAGTATGTTTGCTTTTGCCTCTGAGTTGGGGGGTCATAATCCCAATAAAACTGCAAGTGTGGGAGTAAGTACATCTTGTACTCCATCAAAATAAGATGTAGTTTGACTCAGACTGTAGTCATGCATTAGCATGTATTTCTTGGAATGGGTAGTTCCCAGTCACCACTGTACTGTCAATGCAAACATATAGACTGTCTTTGTTTACAAGTGCAAATTCTTAGTTTCTAGTGGGGTTTCATTCCTTGCATCACTTCATGCAACAAACCTGTACTGAGCTGTGGGAAGGCAGAATAAAACTAGGCCTCTTCCTTGCAACAAGTATGCTGAGCTGAAATGTGAGGTTTGAAACGTACAGGACTTACAGTGTTTTTTATTTTTAATTTGTTATCATTCAGATGCATTAAGTATTTTTACCCAGAATAGATGGAGTACCATGTGATTCACTGTGGTATGTGTAGTGTTCATGGGAGAATCTTAAGGCATCCGCAGAGAGAGGCTGGCAAGGATCTTCTGTCGTTTTTGTACATCAAGGAAGGGACGCCGTAGAAAGGAAGGGGAATGGTGGTTTCTGTAAAACAATTTGGCCAAGCTTTATGTATCTGACTTCAGGGAAGCTTCCCCAATGAAACTGTCATATTGATGGATCTGTACTATTCACACTGAGGTACTGAGGAAGAAAAAAATAATTTCCTTTGGAGTAAGAATTTTGATAAAATTGAAAAGCTTAGGGCTTGAAAGTGGAATATTACAGGCATGCCCTAAATTTGCAGTGAATTATGTATGGGTTCAACTCCTAAGCTGTCTGCTGTCTCTGAGTGTGCCCAGTCCAGACTTAACACCTTTTGAACCCTCTAGGATTTGAGTTTCATGCCTGTACTGTGATTTTGGAGACGTGTGATACTTCCCCCTTGACTCAGTGTTTGTTTTTTTTCACTCCCAGATTTCATGGAAAGGCATCAGGCTACTTATTTAGAGAATAAGCTTTAAGGCAACCTGGCCTGCAGCTGCTTTCAGGTGAAAGGAGGGGAAAAAGATTAAACAAACTTGTTAGATCTACGTGTTGAAACTGGCTGGGATGGAGAGAAAAAGGGGCTCAGGCATTTCCTCTCTGTAATGGCCAAAGGTATTGGAGGCAGCTTGTTTAAGTAAGACTGGTTCCTTAGGAATAGGGAAGCTACAGGAGCACTCTAAAGTTACAAGTAGAGCTGTAACTGATCCTACACACTCTCTTTGTCATGGTGGGACAGCTCAGCAGAGGACAGTTTCCAACTTGCAACAAGTCAGTATTGGGTTCAGACTTGCCACAGAGCTTCACGACCCCTATGATGATGGTGGTAGAGCTGTTTGAATTTAACACTTGAGCCGCAGAGCTTGGCTGGTGCGGGAATAAGCACAGCTTGGTGTGTCTGTAGAACATCAGGCTGTCTCACTACACAGAGAGGTTTTCATCATATGCTTCCAAGCACCACATAAATATCCTTGTTTTATAAAGGAGCATACAGGCTGTACGTGATATGTGACAGATAGTAATTTTGGCATTTCCCTACTTTCCAGGAATTCATATATTCCTGCTGTGCTGCTGTGGTGGCTGTAGGCTGTGTTGTCTTCAGAAGAGGATTAGATCTAGCCTTTTGTTTGTTTAACACATGGTTTGTTTGCTTCACCTGAGCTCGGAATACTATTTGTTGGTAGAGGTTTGTTACAATTGAAAGTATTCAGGAGAAGCTGAACCATAGCCTAGCCCTCATTTCATATTGAATGGTTCATTGTAGGTGGTGGCTTATAGAAAAAGGGTTGAACAACTGGTTTGCTATCCAACAACAGGTATTCTCTACTTCATGCAATTCAATTCCAAGTGCCGGTCACTTGGCATGGGGCATGATCTTCAGAACACAGCCTGAACTTGGAGGCTGCTGGACTCTACTTAAGCAGACATCTGTGTTTCCCAATTAGTCAGTTATTC